CCCCCTGGTAGTACTACTGTTTGTAAAATTCAGTTGTTACACATGTGTATCTCTTCTAAAAAGTCACATGGTCGGTAGTGTTGTAAAAATAGCAAAATGTTGAACTAGCACAAAAGATTTAAAGCATTTCTGAGAAGCATTGATTGGATCTGTCATGGAATGAGTGCATTTGGAGAATGACCTAATTATCACAGAGCTCATTCGTTCTCACTGCTCTACTTCCTGCTAATTGCAAAACTGCTGGCCTCCTCCCCCCTGACAAGGAAGAAAAACAAGGACAGGGGTGTATGGAGAGAACAGTGACATTCAGTTTTAATTCATTTGAACCTGCTGCCAAGCAAGTTTAATTACATAATTGAGAGAGTGAGATCGGTGGGCTTCCAGCCACTTGGGCCTGAGTTCCTGATGGTTAGCATTTGCTCAGGTTCTGCTGGGATTTTAGCAGTTACTGTAAAGGATTATTAGTTGGGGCTGAATGAATCTCCCTCCCCTTCCCTCACCAGATGTAGGTACAGAGGTTCTTGTTCTCAGACTTGATTATTTGTCATTAAGGAAAGCAAATTGAAACCAAATTGAAGCTGCTTTCTACCTCAGTAAATGCATCATTATTCTTTAGCGGCGGCCTCATACTTCATTGTGTTCTCTTCTGATGGTGATGGAGTATCTGCCGTCATGCAAAACTCGGTAATGCAATGTTTATTTCCAGAATGGGAGTGCATTTCTGAATTGCTTAAGGCACTTTTACCCCTGAACTTTCATTTTAATGAGTGAAAATAGATATAGAAGTCATGTAACTAGGAGACATTCTTCAGATGTGGTGGCTTGTCCTTTATAAGTTTGTTCGTGGAGTCCTTGCTCCTCTGTTGGCTCTGTGCCATCAGTGCAGATGTTTTATACCAAGGGGCCGTTCTCCCTTGCGGACATAATGATTCTTCAGACGTGCTCTTTCCTCAAAGTTCAGCCATAAGTTCCCTGATTCAGAAAAAGCTCAGAGTGTCCCAAGCCCTCCCACAAATGTCTTGTTTGGATGGGAGTTCATCCCTGGAGACCAGCTTCTTGATTTTGTAATATCCTGTGTAATGTGTGGGGGTGAAAAGAACAGGAGGAAGCCAGAGGGAAGAAGCCCTGCTACAGCGAGTTGCAGGAGGCGCGGCCTGCAGCGCTAGGCTGCTTGGCTGGGCCAGTATAGCTGACCTCAGGCCAGACTGTGTAGCTGACACTGTCTTTTTGAGTTCAAAGGAATTAATAGACATTTTTGTCAGGTACTCCTCATGGTGGTCCATAAGATAACTTAACATCTTTTAAAATGTTTTCTATTTATTTTAACTGACATTTATCAAGCATGAGACATGAGTTAAGGACAGTTCTAATAACTGAGTTATACAAAGAAATACCACCTAGTTACCAAGAACACTTTGATTTATTTTTCAGTTACTCTAACCCAAGGAGGAGGATTTTCTCATATGTCCTACATCCCCCTACCTGTCTGCCTTCTAGAGAGCAATACTGTATGTCTTTCTGCAGCCTTAATCTTTTATTATCTGCTTTGCCCTTCCTACCAACATAAAAAATGCAAAGACAATTATCTGTCCTATAGGAGGTAGTCAATAAATATTTGCTGAATGACTTCAATGAGTCCCCAGTGAACCTCCACAGTAGAGTGAAGTAAAAAGCAGCCAAAGATAGCCATCCCTCACAAGCACACACGTGTGCATGCACACACACACACACACACACACACACACACACATCTTAAAGTAAAGCAACAGAAAAACCTACATAGACTTCATATTCCTTGATAGTTAAATCTGTCCTTAATTCTTCTTCTCAGTCAAGAAAACTGGAAAAGCCCTGGCAACCCCTCTTACTGTCACATCTTTCTCTTGTTCTTCAACTTCTCATGTGGGCTGCAGGTCCCACTGCCTTCCTGGAGAAAATCATGCCCCTGGCATCACGCTCCTCAGCATGCTGTGCTGGCCCAGGCTCCCTCCTGCCCACTCTCAGTTTCATCTGATGCAGTTTTCTTCCTACTTTCTGTCCTATCCCCCTTTCCTTCTCTCTTCCTGATTCTTCTTCGAACTTCTTTGCCATTCACTTTTTCATCCGGCAGCTAAATTCCAAATACTGAATTTTTATAATACACTGGATTTTTTTTCTATTTCTGTCTCTGTAAGTAACACTTTACATTGTTTCCCCTCTAATTTATATTTTAATCCCATTACCTTTTCTGAGCACTATTCCAATAGATCTGCCCCTTGACATTTCTACATAGATGTCTCTCAAGCTTTGCTGACTCAGCATATCTCAAACCAGTGTTTCTTTGTTCCCTCTCTCCTGTTGGAGCCTCCACTATCCTCTTTCCACTGTGGATTATGGCAAACAAAACAAGACAGCCAAACAAATCAGTCAATGACCAATTTTTATCTTTGCTACCCTTACTTCCAACCCAGTCAATCGATCAGCAAATCCTATTAATTCAATCTCCAAAATATAACTCAATTTATTTTACCCAATCAGCTTTACTGCCAGCCCCCATTCCTCTGAACTGTTTCAAAGGCCCCTAAGGCTTTTCCATTATTCTGCTCTTGCTGTCCTCAACTGTTTAATCTTCTGCTAAGGTGTGATTTTGTAAATGTAGATCATTTCATGACACTGATTCCTAAAACGGTCAATAATCTAGTTACATTCTATATTATATATTTCCACTTCCTTTCCAAGAACACATGCCATTTTTAATCATAGATTCATTTGCATAATTATTGGATACTTCTCCCACTACAATCATAGGTTGCATAAGGGTGGGAACTGAGAGTATTTTAACACTTTATAAACTGCGCTAAGTATGGTACCTAATATTAGATGAAGAAGACTTTATTATTGGGGGCTGGGGAAATAGTTCAGTAGAATAAGCTCTTGCCTGGCAAGAGCAAGGGCCTGAGTTCAATCCCTGGTTCTAAATAAAAAAAGATATTTTTGCACGATCCTACACATAAATGAAGAAAATTGATCAAACCCTGAGGTGAAAGATGGTTCTTGTCCATCATTTGAAGAATTCTCCATTAAATTTAGCCACTCCCTTACAATTACATGGAGTGAAAGAGGTAGATTGAATTCTGTATTTGAATTATTTTAATCCAGGTCCTACTTTTAAATCAGGTAAATTTTTTAGGAGTTAGGTGCTCTCCCAGGTGAGCTTCAGAGTGACTAGAATAGTCTACAAAAGAGTATTATAAAACAGTTCATAATATGGTGTAATAGAAAGGCCTTGGTTTCACATACTGTATCTGCCAATTAGTGAACTGTGATCTTTGGCCCACTCTAACTCTCCAGTGCCTCATTGTCTTCATGTAGAGTAGGCAGGAGGCCCATATTCCAGAAAGCTCTTATGACTTCACTACTTGTCAGCAGGTCCATTATGCAGCATAGCTGCTGGAGCATGGAAGAAAATGTCTAAATTTTATTTTTTATCCTTTTTTTTCATTACTAAGCTTCTTGACTTGTGCTACTTTTTCTTTCTCCTTTTCCTCTTCCTATTTCATCTCAGTGGGTGGTAATACTTGTGTTATTCACATAGTTTGAATTTTGTAGAAAGAGAAGAATTAGCAGTACTTACAGAACAGACTTCTCTTTGGATTAGAAATACAAACTTCACAGCTTCTCTGCCCAGCTTTTCAAGAGCATTTTATGGTACACTGCTGTGTAACAAGTTCATTTCAGGATAACATGCTGGGAGGGAGAGAAAGAAGACAGAATTCGAGGGGAGAAAATTAAAAAGTTAATTAAAAGAAACAACTTGGTAATTGGATTTCTTTGCAGTCATCTTTGTTTATTGGGATGGGGGCTCACAGTGCATGGTTAGAAGGTACGTTTTTGTTGGACACCCCAAAACTTCTAAATGAGACAAGTATAAAAGTATGGAGTAAAACCCTGCCTAACAGATGGGAAAATGTGTTGGAAACATATGGCAGGCTTTTCAGGAGAAGTGGACAGGGCTTCCCTCATACTCCTTCTTGAGGATTTACATTTTTAAATATTCTTGGCGGCTGACATTGCTCTTGGGCTAAGCCCGGGCTGAATCCCAGCTGGCTTAGCAGCGTGCACGCTTCTCTGCTCCCTGACTCTGGCTTTCTACCTTGGGTTCATCTTGCACACACAAGCACACAAACAACAATCAGAACAACTTCTCTGCCCCACCCCCGAGTCCATTCTAGTATCAAATAAGCAAGATGAGCATTTTTTATTTGTAAAAGTTTGAATATTTATGTATTTAATTATCCTTTTTTCACAGGTCATTGAAGAGTTATAATAGTTTATTAAAATGTTATTGCAGAAAGAGTCAAAGTGCCAGCTGAGAAAGAAGCAGAGGCTACTGAAGCCTGACAGTGCCTGCCTGCAATCCCAGCACTATGGAGGCTGGGCAAAGAGATTACAAGTTCAACCCCAGCCTTGACAACATAGTGATTTAGCAAGACCCTGTCTCATTTTTTTTTAAAGTGGGGTGGAGTGGCTAAGAACACAACTCAGTGGTAAGAGCATGAGTTGAATGCCTAACACTGGAAAAAACAAAAACAAAAATGTAGAAAAACAAACACAGGGTTAGTAATTAAGTTCAGATCTATCTCACCCACAGCCTTCATTTATCCATGCAGTCAACTTGTACGTAATGGCCAACTTTGTGGCACATACTACACAGTTGCTGTTGATAATCCTATGCAAATTCTTATCATGGCTCTTATTAATATCAGTGTTTTAAGGCTTTGAAAAGTAATTATAGATACACTGTTACATCTGCCCTCCATAGCACTCTCTGGGAAATGAATTCTATTTTCCTCAAGAGGTATATCTCCCAAAACAGGAAATGCTCCCGATTTGAGAACCTTTGTCTTCAGTCAGGTCATGTTCAAAAGAACTGAGTGCAAGTCTGTCTACAAACCGGAATTCATCAATGTGAATGAGGTGTGCTGCCTGTGAGCACTAACGAGACCTTTGTGTTTCCACAGGTTATGGTTTTGTAGATTTTGACAGTCCTGCGGCTGCACAAAAAGCAGTAGCATCTCTCAAAGCAAATGGCGTACAAGCCCAGATGGCCAAGGTAAGACTGTATGTGTGTGCATGCGTGCGTGAGTGAGTGCGTGTGCGTGTGTGTGTGTGTGTGTGTGTGTGTGTGTGATATGTTGCTCACTTGCTGTGAGCTCACTCTACTTTGGTGGACTGAATATGTAACAATTTGGGCTATATTTATTTTGCAAGAAAAATAAAGTCTATAACTGAATTTGTTTAGAATAATTTGGCTGAATTATTTCCTGGTTTCTTTGTGTATGTGTATTAGCGTGCATATATTTATATTTGTTTTTATGGTAATCATGTTACTGATTTCGAGGATGCTTTTAAAATACTGTGTTTTGCCTGAGAAAGGAGATGAGTTTGTATGTGTTCTAGGTTTTCAGTAAATAGTTTTTGAGTAGTACACTTATCAGCACTTTGTTTGTAACTATGCTAAACCTTGTTTTCATTCTTGTTTTGGGAAGAAATGAGTGCTGAATGATGGGGTTTCCTGACCTATGCTGAGAAACAGCTTATTAAAGCACACTTTGTTTTGCTGGAATTGCTCTTTTGCCCATGTAGCTGAATGTTTCTTAGGTAAAATTTTCCCAGATATTAAAATTTTTCAATACTCATTTTATTGAAATTTAGCAGTTTTCTGGAAATTTCTGTTTAAAAGTCTAATGCATTTTCTATCTATAAAATAACTTATAGAAGTTTGCATTCTAATTGCAGTCGTAAGTTACACATGTGATAAAATAATAGAGAAATTACATAGTGTAGTGTCAATTTTCTGCTTTCCTTGTTTATTTATGTATGATGTAACCTTTGGGGAAACTAGGTGAAAAATACAGAAAATCTCTCTGGACTATTTTTGGAACTTTCTATAAATCATTAACTGTTTCTAAATAAAAAGCTAATATGTATTATATATATTTATGACATATATATATATGTATATATTATTGACATTTTTCAGATATGTGCATTACTATAGTAGTCATTACAGATTTGTTCACACACTATCCAAGTTTTAAAATAGTCTTTCCCCTTAATTTTACTAAATGTTTTATTTCCAAATGGGCCAAATTGTTGAGATCCTGGTCACTGCATTCACGCGATGCACATGTATTTAGGTGATCTCAGCTATCCCCATGGAATTGAGCATTGTAACAATGGAATAAGAACATGATTGCTAATCTGAATTATTTTATGGTTCCTCAAAATTTTGGAAACCACTTCATGACTTCAAGCTTAGATTTCTTGAGGTAGGCTCCACTAGTTCTCGTCATCTGTTGTTGTCTTCTAGCAAGATGATGTAGCCCATGTCTATTAGCCTAGGGTTACAAGTTATTTCCCTTGTGCAGTGGTTTGGTAAACTGATTGTCCTTTATGATACTTTAATTGCTATTTAAGGCAATATAAATTAGAATTTGAATTCTGTCATCTGTGTAATGTATTCTTCATTAAGATCATGATAATTTCCTGGATTTGCATAACCTGGAAGCTTTGAACTTGCTCATAAACTAAGATTGATGAATTTGATTTTTTTCCTTTTTTTTTTTTTTTTTTTTTTGTACTTTAGGGAAGGGTCTAAAGGGTGTTCAGGGTCTCACTACTCATAGTGATTCACCCATTGATAGCCTCCCAAGAGCTGGGATTACAGGCGAGCGCCACCACACCCAGTGTCATTTGCCATCTCAGCTCGCCCCTGGGGCAGGGCTGGCACAACAGGCCCAGGAATCGAAGCCCCAGCCCCTGCACCTGCATGCAGGCAATTTAATCCATGATATTTTTTAATTCATAAGAAAATTATATACATATCTTGGGTTCATGATGTTTGGTAAAGAGTTAATGGTAACCTAAGTAGCAATTTCCTGTGCCCAGAAAACAAATGATAAAATATAGCTGTTATATACAAAATATACTTGAATTTGAATGAAAACACAACCTATTGACAAGAAAATGAGTATAAAATTGGTTCACAGAAACTTGTCATTAGTATACTTTTCTTCTATTGTTTCTAAAAACCTAGAAATTTAACTAATTGCTAAAGCTAATGAATATGGTATTTTTTCTATTGCTTTAAATAATTTCAGTATGTATACCATATATATATTTTTTTTTGAATAAGAAAAAGGGAAGAAATTTGACCTGCACTTGTAAGTTCTGGGGAGCCACTCTGAATATGTCTCTCTATTTCATGAGATTCTGGTCCGCGGGGAACATCTCTTCCCATATGCATAGGGAAGAGATGTCTTCATCTTTTTCCCTGTGCATGTGCTAATCACTGACATCTCATAAAGTCAAGAGACTATCAGAGGAAAAATAGTAAAGAACTTTTAAAAATGATTGTTTATTCAAGCCAGAATTGGTGTGCTTTGAAGTAAGAAGATCCCAACTAGAATGTGTAAATTCACTTACTTCTACTGTTACTCAGAGGTTTTACAACTGTGCTGTCAGTCAGAGGAACCCTTTTCTTCCGCAAAGTTTGAATCAACAACTTAGTAGTTTAGATTCACATCTGCCTACTGGGAAACTTGCAGCAATAAATGACTGTAATTTAGCTATCCCTGAAGAAAATAAATAGCTTCCCTTTGACAATGAAATGGAACAATCTTGACCACCTGTATTCGCAGATTTCTCACTGGGCTATTGGATTTCAGGGCACTTTTTCCTTTGTCCTAGTGGTCACTGTTATTTATTATCTAAACCTGCAGTCCATAGGGTGTGTGGAACTTGAAATTTTGTTTGCCATTTAAATATCTACTGAATAGCCTTCTGCATCTTTGTTCTTATCAATATCCTACTATGCATGTTCTGGTGTCACATACCCCAGGATTTTAACATAAAAATGCTACAAATAACCTAGGTTCCTAGTAGCAACCTGAAGCTAATGTGAAAATCTTCATGTGAATTGTTTTATTTAACAAACTTATTCCAGTGTGTACACATGCAAACTCCAGCAGATGTGTCAATGAAAAGGAATTTAATAACAAATTATCTAAAGGAGGTAATTAAGAGTAAACAACCATGAACACAAACTAACATGTTCGGTATAATTGTTGTTTTGGCAAAAATGGGGTTTCAGGATCAAAGGATATGCTTCCTTAGGAAACACAGATTTAGGATATTTTAGTAATCCATACTAATTAACAACACTGGCCTTGAATCTTGATGCTGGCTACACCTGGCTCTTGTCACCTTGGCTAGGTAATATAAATATTTCTAAAATGCTATAGTATTAATGCTGTACTTAGACTATGAAATTGTCATCACATTTTTGTATCAGTTGATATTGCAAGCTGTTTTTCTTTCTTTCTTTTTTTTTTTTTTTTTTTTTTTGCGGAACCAGGGATTGAACTCAGGCTCTTGCACTTGCCAGGGAAGCGCTTATTCCACTGAGCCATTTCACCAGCCCCAGTCAGTTGATATTGCATAACCTAGGTTATACCTAGGGTATAAACACTATATATTTTACCCAGAGTACAAACAGTATACATTTTACCTAGCCTCAGTAAAGACTAGGTAAAGGCTCATGATATGACATTTGAACAGGAAACTAAAAGGAACAAGAGGAGTGAACTCGGCATATGTTTATTTAGAAGCATTGCTGGATAATTCCCACATTAAGCTAAAGTAGGGGGATCAAGGAGATGGCTCAGTAGAATAAGAGCTTGCCTGGCAAGTGTAAGAGACTGAGTTCATACTCAGACAAGGGTCTGCTCTCTAGAATCTATAAAGAACTAAAAAACACCAGG